GTTAACCTCATTGATTACCAACGTTGTATATGTGGCTTCCCTATTGAAGACACACACCATTTCTTTTTTACCTGTGATATATATAACGAACAAAGAATTAAGCTTTATCGTGAACTGAATGAATACATGCCTCTTAATTTAAATCTACTTCTATTTGGAGATACATCTCTTTCGGAACAGGAAAACATAACGATATTCATGCATACTCAGCAATACATTCGTGACTCTAACAGATTCTAGTACACCCCCTCCCCCTTGTCCCCTCTCTCTCCCTCTCTCTCAATTGAACCATAATATCCACTCTCTCTAAGAGGAAGATACTATATGTCATACATTAATAATGATGAGGATGTATGTATTATAATTACAGACTATTATCCCCCCTGTCTCTTCCCCCTTCCCCCCTTTTCTCTCTCTGTCTCTCTCTTATAATTTCAATTTATAAATTAAAGCATTTAAAAATGAAATAGTGTATATATGTAAATTAATTCTGCCATCTTGTTGTACTATTGTAAATATATGCTTGTAATTTGCTAGGAAAGGGCTTAATATAAGTTTGATAACTTGTGCCCAATCCATTTGCTTGGCAATAAAATATGTTTAAACTAACTCCAGGATTATCACTGGGAAACATACACGCAAATAACTATTTTTTTTCCACGAAAACGAAAGTTTAGATGTTTCTATTACATGTAAAAGTATTCATCTGTTTTGTGAGACATCTATCATGTCTTGTAAAGGGTTGTTTCAAGGATTCCATACTGTAAATACACTGGTCATAGCTGAAGATAGCTCCTTACAAGCTGTTAGACAACCCTGTCAATTGCCGGTAAACTTGTAGCTGAAGTTATTTATCAATTTCTAGCTATTCTATAGCTTTAAAACAGTTACGATTCAAAAAATAATTAGAATTGTCATGAAATACGTTTCAAAGTAAAGAAAATACCTGAAAATCGTTGCTATTCGTAGTATAGACTGAACCGTCCTTCAAAGCCTGGTGTCGTGTCAGCTATCCGTTAGTGTGACGTCATAACCGAAAGTGAAAAGTATAAGAGTTACTTTTGGTCTCTCTGGAGTTCAAGTGGTTAACAAAGATAGTACATGGGTCCTTAATCGATTCGCAAAGTAAAGAGTGTGGCCGATTTTGATTCAGATGTAGCACCTGTAACGACAAACGGAGTGAAAACAGCTCTTTACACTGTAATAGCCGTGCGGATACGTGTTAAAATGACCCTTTTAGTATATACACGAGTCTATACAATTTGGTACGCGTTTCGTTGTACAGCGCAAACGTCCTCTGATCCCTCATTATTTTGTCGTCTATTGTTTTTGTGACTCTACCGCGGTCCGACAATACAACGTCTTTCATCGCAGAGAAGTTGACAGTCCTGTCGTTTTGTACGTTCAGGGAAAATCACCTGACCTTACACGTAGTGTTGTTTTTGTTTGTGCGGTACGCGTAGTTCTTAGGTCCGGCAGAAACGAATTCAACTATGTGTTCACAATGGGGTAGCTTTAGATGACGGCACGGTCGTCGAACGTGACGTCACTATCATCGATGTGTGTATTTCTATGACGTCATCAAATTTAGTGTTACAGACTTAATTATCTCCCCCTGTTTCCAATAGATGTGTATATTGCCTGCGACGTCATTCTGCTTCTGTTTTCATTGGATTGTCAAGCAGCAGAAGTCGTTCGCCGAATTTTACAACTATAAATTCATCGGAAGCTTATGAAAGGAACATGAAAAGGTTGTATTTTGAGACTAAACGTATTCAAAATATAAAAACAAATACGAAATTATCCTTTTTGATGTAAAAATATGCAGATACTACTGATTCTGTATTGTATTTTGTCCTTATTTTGTCATCATTTGTCCATATCTGTCCACTATTTGTCCACCTTTGTCCACTATTTGTACACCTTTGGTAGTATTTCCATTTATGTCCATGTCAGTCCTTCCACCCATGTCCATATGTCAGTCCCTCCATCCATGTCCATATGTCAGTCCTTCCATCTATGTCCATGTCAGTCCCTCCATCTATGTCCATATGTCAGTCCCTCCATCTGTGTCCATATGTCAGTCCCTCCATCTATGTCCATATGTCAGTACCTCCATCTACGTCCATGTGAGTCCTTCCACCCATGTCCATATGTGAGTCTCTCCATCTATGTCCATATGTCAGTCCTTTCATCTATGTCCATATGTCAGTCCCTCCATCTATGTCCATGTCAGTCCCTCCATCTATGTCCATATGTCAGTCCTTTCATCTATGTCCATATGACAGTCCTTTCCATTTATGACCATATGTCAGTCCTTCCATCCAAGTACTTTAATTCTATAATACGTGACTCTTCCGTCGCGAAACATGTAAAATACTATACTTAAGTAAGCTAGTTCATTGCTAACAGTTGATAACATAGTGTTCCAATGTGGGTTTGCACGCACTGTCTAACGAAAACGCCAATTCCTGTAACATTTAATCAAGAAGCTCAACATGTAAGTTCATTGTTAAAACTTCTTCAACACACTGGATAGTTGGTAGTATTCCCAGAATGTCATGCATATTCCATGTTTGATAGGTATCACATTGTCGCTGCTGTGACTTCCGTGAACTTTTCTGATGTCTACACATGCGAAGGGTCTGCTTACCGAAACATAGATATTGTCACCAAGGTGACTAAACACATGCTAAGGGTGTATTGACAGACGATGCTAGTACCTGTGATCATACAAGGATTGAACATAGTAATATTGATTTGAGTTTTACATTCTATGGACGAGGTACTTGCTGTTTCCTATGAGCATTTATATTGGACATGATTTGAAAGTAGGTCCAAGCATAAATATATAAAAAAAAAAAACTCCCCTCGGGTCGGAGGTGGTAGAAGGCCTATATTTTGAACTGGTGAGGACAAAGCATCCTCGATACTCTAGTGGTTACGTTCACTTATACGCTCTCTGTACCCCTGGAATATGTCAAAGCAAAATCGAAGGCACGCGGCTAGCAATTTGATCGGTCTCAGGTAGAAAAAAAAATCTGACCAATCTATACCTGGGCATTTGAAGATTACAAATTTCAAGTCTATTGGTTTCCTCAGATACATTACAATGTACAAAATGGAGTACAGAGATGAGACACCCACCTACAAAGCCAGTCAATTTTACCGTTACGTGACCGAGCAATTCTTTTAACGTGCGAAATAATGAGGGATCAGAGGACATTTGCGCTGTACAACGAAACGCGTACCAAATTGTATAGACTCGTATATACTAAAAGGGTCATTTTAACACGTATCCGTACGGCTATTAAAGTGTAAAGAACTGTTTTCACTCTTTTTGTCGTTACAGGTGCTACATCTGAATCAAAATCGGCCACACTCTTTACTTTGCGAATCGATTTAGGACCCCTGTACTATCTTTGTAAACCACTTGTACTCCAGAGGGACCAAAAGTACCTCTTATACTTTTTACCTTCGGTTATGACGTCAAACTAACGGATAAAGGCTTTGAAGGACGGTTCAGTCTACGAATAGCAACGATTATCAGGTATTTTCTTTACTTTGAAACGTTTTTCATGACAATTCTAACTATTTCTTGAATCGTTACTGTTTTAAAGCTATAGAATAGCTAGAAATTGTTAAATAACTTCAGCAACAAGTTTACCGGCAATTGACAGTGTTGTCTAACAGCTTGTAAGGAGCTATCTTCGGCTATGACCAGTGTATTTACAGTATGGAATCCTTGAAACAACCCTTTACAAGACATGATAGATGTCTCACAAAATAGATGAATACTTTTACATGTGATAGAAACATCTAAACTTTCGTTTTCGTGGAAAAAAATAGTTATTTGCGTGTATGTTTCCCAGTGATAATCCTGGAGGGGGCATTGACCCCTCAAAACTGAAATTGACCCCTCCGTCTTCCAATATTCTTTTGATTTTACATAGAAGCCTGAGTTAATTTTACCGTCAGCTAATGTATCATTGTGAATTGATAGTGACGTTACGGTAGTGACGACCGTGACGTCATCTAAAGCTTCCAGAACGTTTCAGAATATACACTGTTCATGCAGGCTATCCGACTTCCTCCGCCAACACCGATTAATTCAACGGCAAGCAGACACGTACAGGAAGGAACGACAAAACATATCAAACGACAAGTAGCGCATTAGGAAACAACATCGTCAACGAATGCATAGACAACGACGTGCAAGAAGCCAGTATTCAGTATTCGTTTGTATTCCATCTATGTCCATATGTCAGTCCTTCCGTCCATGTCCATATGCAGTCCTTCCATCTATGTCCATATGTCAGTCCTTCCGTCCATGTCCATATGTCAGT